ACTGGACATGAAAATTAGTACACTTTACATACTTTTATGTATGTATGTTATGTTATACACAATAAAAAAGAAAATGCAAAACCCAAACAAAATCCAAATAGCACATGGGAAAAAGGTCAGACCCTAAATTTCTTAGCTTTTATTTCAAGTTTTTTATTTGTTTTGTTTGTTTTTGCTTTTGTTTTTTTTGTGACAGAGTTTTGCTCTGTCACCCAGGCTGGAGCGCAGTGTAGCAATCTCAGCTCATTGCAGCCTCTATCTCCCAGGCTCAAGCAATTCTCCTGCCTCAGCCTCCCGAGTAGCTGGGACCACAGATGCACACTACCACTGCCCAATTAATTTTTGTATTTTTGGTAGAGATGGGGTTTTGCCACGTTGCCCAGGCTGGTCTTGAACTTTTGAGCTCAACGATCCTCCCACCTCAGCCTCCCAAAGTGTTGGGATTACAGATAGAAGCCACTGAGCCTGACCCAAGATTCATCTATTTCCAGTGCTTAGCACAGAGTAGCAGCTACTGCAATTAATGTGATATCAATGAATGAATGATTGTGTTCTGTGAGCTTCTGAGATGTGGCAGCCCATATCTGAAATGGACTCCAAGGTTCCCTCACACTCCAGACCCTGCCCCTCCCTCCTCCCAGCCCACTTGCCCTATCCCCTACCCCAGCAGCTCCGGATGCTGTTCCGGACTTCGAGCCCCCTGCAGTCTGGGGAGAGATCACAGAAGAGCCTCCGGTGGGGCTGGGGGCCAAGGAAAGACGAAGGGCAATCTGGCTCCCAGAGGGGAATTAGGAAGGGCTCCCCATCCCCTAGATACCACCCACATCTGTCTGATGCTCAGAACGCCTTCCCTAGGGGCTGGAAAGCCACATCACCCAGGGAGAGAAAGCCTGAGGGACTGACTCTGGCAAGGATATGAGTTCAGACCCCTGCCTGAGTGTGGATGGAGCTAGAAGAGGGTGAAAGCAGCAAGGGAGTAGCCAGAGGGGACAGAGGCTAGGGGGCCAGGACTTGGGGTCCACTTACCAGGCAGCTGCTGTGTGAGGTTGAGTTTCTTCTCGTACCTGGGCTGAGTATAGGACCAGATTTGCACCTCACTCCCTAGGGCAGCCTCGAAGCAGTCATATACTACAGAGCCCTGTGAGGAGACGGTGGGGAAGGCTGGTGGTGCAGGGCTCAGAATCCAGGCCAAGGGCTGTGGATCATCTGCAGGGACCACTCTGCTCACTGTCCTTCTTTCCCAACCAATGACTGTATTTATACTGTATAGGCTGGAATCTACCATTCACCTTTCCTTCAAGGGGCCTCAATTCTAAAGCACATGTCCTCAGTAAGAGGGTTGCCAGGGTGGGAAAAGGTCCTAGCCATTTAAATCCCTGCCCCAACCCTGCTGTGCTAATCACCTGGCCAAAGCCAAGGAGATGAGACACCCCAATGCAACGTGGCACACCCCTCCCCACAGAAGTGGTTCTCACACTTGACCCAGTGCCTCAGTGGTCCTCACAACTGCTTGTGACATGGGCCAAGCAGATGTTCTCCCAGTCTACAATTCTCTAGATAAAAAGATATCAGCTGGGAGCTGGAGGTTGGAGGGGACGCCAAAGGGTTTGAATGATTTGACCCCGTTGGAAATAGATCTTCCAAGTACATGTAGCCTCCTGAGGCAGGGAGAAGCCCCAACACCCTGCATCATGGTACTTGCACCATGGTATGTACACCATGGTATATATGGCAGGACTGTTCTTTTGGTCCAAGAGTACAGGGAAGTGCATCCAGCCCACAGACCTCCTCTCTCCAAACCTCACTTTCTCTATCTGGGAAATGAGGATCATAATAATGCCTAGTTCAAGTAGTTTTGAGGATTACAAAGTAATTACATTTATTGAAACCCTTCAGTGCCAGGCATTACAGCCGGTGTTTTACAGGCCTCAACTTATTTAATTCTCACAACACCCATGTGAGGTGGGACTATTTTTTTAATGTGGCCCTCCCCAAAAATTTAAGAGATATTTCACAAGGAAGTTACACTAACAGCCAATAAGCATATGAAAAAAGTGCTCAACTTCATCAGTCATTGGGAGGTACAAATTAAAGCCACAATGATAAAACAGCACATATGCAGTAAAATTGTTACAATTATAACACCTATGCTTGTTTTGGCACCACATATACTACAACTGGAACAATACAGAAAAGATTAGCACAGCCCCTGCCTGAGGATGACATGCAAATTCATGAAGGGTCCCATATATATATAATTCAAATATATTTAATTTAAAAATAAAATAAAATTGCATCACTGAGTGTTGGCAAAGATGGGAAGAAACTGCAACTCCCATCCACTGCTCGGGAGAGGGTGAAATAGTAGCAGTACCCTGGAAAACTGCTTGGTGTTTTCTCACAGTCAAGCATATGAAGTAGGACTATTCTTATCCCCATTTTACAGACATAAAAATTGAGGCATATCAGGCTGAAGGGGCTTGCCCACAGCACTGATCAGAATCAAAAGAATAGTCCTACCTCACATGGCTGTTTTGAAAAAGATAACTAAATAAGTTGATACCTATAAAATACTGGCTGTAAGGCCTGGTACTGAGGGGGTTCAATAAATTTAATTCTTTTGTAATCCTCAAAGAGATAATGCATGTGAAAGTGTTTTATAGATTTTAGGTTTAGAAGGTGGTTATTATTATTTTGCATACCACAGACTGACCAAACTGCACAAGGGCAGCAGGCACTTGCACCTCCAGCAGGACGCAGCGGGCAGTAGGGTAGGCCTGGAAGGAGAGCACGACTTGGGCCTGGAGCGAGGCTGTGGGCAACAGGGCAGGGATCAGTCAGGCCTAGGAGCAGCAGGCCAGGCCTTGGCACGGAGCAGTTGGGCCAGCCAAGTTCTCCTCACCATTCCTAGGCTTCTCAAGCCCTGGGTCAGCTGCTCCTCCAAACTTTTTCTCATCTTCATGCTCTTCCCAGTGACCTAGAAGGACGCAAGAGCAAAACCCCAGGTGAGACCCCCTGCTCTGGACTGGCTTTGGCACTGGCTTCCTTCTAGAAAGCCCAGTGCTGGGAAGCAGGGGCTGGGGAGACCACTTTGGCCTGGGGATCCTTCTCCCCGTGTCCTCCAGGAGGATGCCCAGCACTGCCCGAGAGATCCCCTGGCCCTCATGCCCACCCCAGACATGCTCACATGTGCACGTGCACTGTCACAGGATGACTTGCTCACCATGCACAGCCAAGTGGACAGCGACACGCACACAGAGGTCACAGTCGGTCTCCTTGCCGCACCTCAGCACCAGCTCTGTCTGCAGGTGTGTAGGCACCAGCACAGGGCCCAGAGCAGGCACGATGTCCCCAGGCAGGCAGAGTATGTCATTGTCTGTATGTGGAGGGGTGGATGGGAGCTGAAGCTGTTCTGAGCCCAGAATTTGGTGGCACCTAACATACCCAGAAAGCCAAGGAACTTGGCTCTCCTGGGCTGAGGTGGGCCTGGGACAACTCAGCTGAAGCTGTTCCGAGCCCAGAAACTTGGTGGCACCTGACATAACCAGGAGAGCCAAGGAACTTGGCTCTCCTGGGCTGTTGCCATGGGCCTGAGACAGCTCTACTCCTTTCAGCCAGCCTTGGAAAATCTTTTTAAAAGTAGGGATACTTACCCCAGAGGTGGCAGGAGAGGCCCTGGGAAGGAGGAAAGGAGAGTCAGAGTTTGTGCCCCCACATCTAGGCACTGTTCTCTGCCTGAGACCTCCACTTTTTCTGGAATTCTGTTTTCCCAGACCCTCCCAGAAGAAGACAGACCCAGGTCTTGCCCCTTCCCCATTCTTCTCTTCTCCCATCAGCACCAGACAGACCAGACAGGGCAGTTCTGGCAGTGGCAGCAGTGACAGGAGCCAGGCTAGGACTTTGCTGAGCCAAAAACTGAATTCTGGGCCTTCCCCCATCTCCTTAGGGTTCCAGACTCACCGGTGAGCAGTGAGTAGCGTCCTGAGGCCCCACAAGCCTCTCCAGAGGAAGGACCATGGGGCTTCGGCCCAGTGCCAAGGACAGCAAAAACCAGGGTACAGGCATCTTCCAGGTTCCAGGCGGCACACGGGCCTGAGGTCCTGTGCTGCCCCCCCAAGGGGGGCAGACACCTGACCCCTGACCCCAGTCAGCCCGTGTCTGTGTGTGGCAGGGGCTGGAATCCTTCCCCAGCCTCCAAAGGAGGCAGTGGGGGCCGAGCTGGAGAGTTTGTGCACTCCCTCTCCTGGGAGTCGACTCTCGTCCTACTTCCAGCCTGGAGTGCTTTCGTTTTGGCTCCCGTCAGGCAACCGGCTGTTCCCGCCCCTCTCTGTCCCTCCCACCAACACCAAGCATGGGAGCCAGCAGCCTTGGACTAGGGTGGTGCCCACACCTCCTCCTTTTTTGGCTCTCCTCCCCCTCTGCTGACACCTGGGTGGGAGGGGCCCCTGAAGAAGGCAGTGAATGCATCATGGCTGAGTAAGGGAGCTCTTACTCACCCCAGGAGCCCTAAGGAGGACACAGTCCTGGGGTCCTGGGCCCACTAGATATCCCCTTACTAGGCATCCTCGGTCCCCTCACACACTCCTTGGGCCTCAGTGACCCTTTGTGGGACAGAAGCTCTAAAAGCACAGCCAAAAGGGCACCAGAAAGTGGGCTTTTCACCACTGCCTGGCCTAGGCTCAAATGTGGTATGGGGCTAGAAGGAAGCCAGGACCCAGGGCCTGGCACACAGGGGTCCCATCTGTGCTGTTGCTGTGGGCCAGTTGTGTGACAATGGACATACCACCTGGCAAAGCCTCTGTTTTCCTCTCTCCTTTTGGAAGAATCACTGGAGGGATCAAGGAGATTGCCCCATTCTCCTTTGCTTTTGGAGGCATTGCTTGAAAGAATGTGATAAATGCCATGCAGTGTGGATACTGAGGATTTGCACCCACAAACTGACACATACAGGCAGGCTCCTGTGGATCCCAGCCCCAATAGAGAGGCACATTGTGTTTTCCAGTTTGTCATGTTTATCTTTATTCATCTTTTCGGATCTTAGTCCCCCACCAGCACCCACCCACCCCATCACCAGTTCCCATTGTCTTGACCACCCAGAGCCAAAAGCCTCTTTTCCTAGGTCCGGAGTCCTTGCTCCCTCTGGGCAGAGCCTCAGTGTGGGAAAAGGATTCTCTGGCCCCCAAGGAGGTTTTTTCTCACCGCCCCCCCCCCCCCCCCCCCCCCGCCTTCAGAACTGACATGGCTCCTGCCTCCCCTACCCCGGGTCCAACCTCTCCAGCCTGGACTGGAGCATAAGCACACTGCTCTTTCTGGAGTTCTGGAGAGGAAGTGGGAAGCCTGCCCTCCCCTATCAGAACAGGGATTAAAGGAGCTTTCTGTCAAGGGAAAGTATGAGGAGGAAGAGGGACATGCGTGGGGACTGGGCTGGGACTTCCGGCCTGGGAGGCAGGGAATAAGGCTTTAAGGCCAGTCGTCCCTGGGGTACCCAAGGATTCCAGGGTCGAAGGTTCATTCAGGGGTTCCCGTTACGTTGTGGCCGTAGACACCCGGGACTGCGGTGGAGCTCTGCTCAACCTAGGTCTGCGAGTTGGGCGACCTCTCGTTCGAGCTGGCTGCACAGCTCTAGGCGGCTCCGCCAGCGCTGCCGCGCTCCGAGGAGTCCCCAGCTGGTGGATTCCGCGGAAGGCTGCGCGTCCAGCGCCCGCAGAAGGCGCGGCAGGTCGCGCAGCAGGCGGTAGCGCGGTAGAGCGCGCAGCGGCTTGGGGATGTCACCCTTGGCGCAGAGGCGACTGAAGTAAGCGAGCAGCAGCAGCGGGCGTGGGGCAGCGTGGAGCAGGGCGAGCAAGGGCGCGGTGCCGGGGTTGGGGTAGCTGGCGGGGCGGAGGGCGGCGCTGCTCCACAGCAATAGCACCGTGCCCTGCTCCCGCGCCACGCGCTCCCGCGCCGCCCAGAGCCACGGCAGCGAGCCCACGCGCGCCACGTGCCTCCCCTCCCACAGGTCCACGATCACGTTGCGCCCGCCGCCCAGCGCTGCCCGCAGCAGTTCAGCCAGCGCTCCCACCAGGCGCCGCTGAGCCTCAGAGTCCGCCGCGTGCAGGAGCAGCACTGGCCGTGTTGGGCCCTGGCCTGGTGGCGGGGAGCAACAGATGAAGGGGTGTGAGCTGAGGGACAGCTCAGCCTTCTCCTCCCCAGTCTCTCAGGCTACCGTAGGGTACTCGCCTCTCGCCTTCACCCCTTATTTGTTCTGGGGGTTGGTACACAAAGCAGCCCTAGACTATAGGGTACCCCTGGGCTAATTAGATAAAAACGTCCCTTCCAAAGAGAGGGCCAGGGCTCCAGGCTGGATAAGTACAGCACAGGCTGGATTTCTGCCCCACTAGCCTTTTGTCCAAAGACTCCGTACAGTGACAATCGGCTCACTGGGCCCTTTGCCCTACCTTAACCATTCCTGCCCACTTGGGTACCAGAGGCTCCCTGCTTGGGTAACAGCGACTGGGTGCAGTGCAGAAAGCTCAGACAGGGGAGGGTGAGGGAACAGCTAGCCTCGGAGCTCGGCAGGTCTGACTTCGGTGAGCTTACCTGACTGTGGGCGCCGGCAGGTGAGGGCCAGAACAACACCCAGTAGGGCGAGGAGCGCCAGCAGTGCCAGGATCAAGAGCCCCAGGTGTCTGTTAGAGACTGAGTCAAGTAGGGTGAGGCCCACCCAGTTCCTCAGTGCCCAACCTCCCTCTTATCTCCCTCTCCCCAAGAACTTACCATCCGGACACAAGAGGTGCTTCCAGGCAAACTGTACATCTGATCGCCACACCTAAGGGCACAGAGCCCCACACCCCTGTGAGTCAGGCAACTTCTCCTCCCAGAGGAGCTGAGTGAAGCATGGAGCTGGGGGAGAGGGGAGTTGCACTGGCTACGGAATTCTTCTGGGGTAGGTTTGTGTCTGCTCCAGCTCCTGGCCTGGCACAGAACAGGTCAAGGGTGGCAAACTCAAGTGTGACAGGGGCCAAACTCGAAAAGTAAACTCAAAGTTGACCAAGGCTGCTGTGAGGACCTGGAGAGCACAGGCCCTGACTGAAATAATCAGATGGCACTGAGCTCCAGGCATTGTCACCGTGCCAGAATGTGGACACACAGCACCAGGCTTTTGGATTTTTCAACAGAAGCCAGAAATCCAGCTTTTTTTATATATGCGTAATAGTGGTAATATTAGTAATAGTCAGGGTAAATAGTGGTAAGCAATTTCGATTTTAAACACTGTGGCGGTCAAACCAAACATTTTTGCAGAATGGATTTTCCATGGGTGGGTGCCACCAGGGGAGTAGAAGCCAGGGCTCTGTATGTAGAGTGAGGGTAGGTTTTCTTACCAGGACACAGCGCCCTGGCCTCAGGAAGGGAATGATGAGGTCTAGTGTCACTGGGCTTGAGCCCTGGGCCTGTAGAAACAAAGAGCAGAAAGGCTGTCCCCAGGGAGGCAGATCTGGCCCTGTCCGGCCTAAGTCTTTCCCCCTGCTGTTCTTCCCTACCACACCCCAACCCCACCATCCTACGACACTTAGGCCAAGTGCCACCTCTGACAAAAAGGCTTCCCCAGCCACTCTGGCTCCCACTGATCTTTCCCAGAGCTCAGCTCCTGCTGCAGTCAAGCACTTGTCAACAGAAAGACTCTGAGTGTGTCCTCTGTGCCAAGCCCTGAGGAAAAAAGGCAGGTATAGACGTTGTCTCTGTCCTCTAGTGGCTCACAAACCAGGGAGGCTAATTTATCTGCTGCCTCACTTTACTCTCCTGCACAGCTGAAGAGGTATCACAAGGTATCATTGAAAAGAATGTTAAGTTTTGCTGGGCACAGTGGCTCATGCCTGTAATCCCAGCACTTTGGGAGGCTGAGGCAGGCGGATCACCTGAGGTCGGGAGTTCAAGACCAGCCTGACCAGCATGGAGAAACCCTGTCTCTACTAAAAATACAAAATTAGCCAGGTGTGATGGCGTATGCCTATAATCCCAGCTACTTGGGAGGCTGAGGCAGGAGAATCACTTGAGCCTGGGAGGCAGAGGTTGCAGTGAGTCAAGATCACACCATTGCACTCCAGCCTAGGCAACAAGAGTGAAATTCTGTCTCAAAAAAAAAAAAAAAGAATAAGTTTTAGGGTTCAGGAGACCTGGGTTCAGGCTTAGCTATTGCCTTTGTAGTCCCTAGCTATGTGGTCTTTGCAGGGAGCCAGGTTACCTCTCTTTCCTAAGCTTCACTTTCCTCATTTTAATTTATTTATTTTTGAGACAGAGTTTTGCTCAGTAGCTAAGGCTGGAGTGCAGTGGTGCAATCTCAGCTCACTGCAACTTCCATCTCCCCAGTTCAAGCTATTCTCCTGCCTCAGCCTTCTGAATAGCTGCAATTACTGGTGCATGCCACCATGCCACCATGTTAATTTTTGTACTTTTTAGTAGAATGGGGTTATGCCATGTTGGCCAGGCTGGTCTCAAACTCCTGACCTCAGGTGATCTGCCTACCTCAGCCTCCCAAAATGCTGGAATTACAGGTGTGAACCACTGCGCCTGAGTACTTTCCTCATTTTTATATGGGGGATAGTAATCTTTATTTTACTGGGTTATTGAAAGCATCAGATGGGTATAGGCACATGAATGTCTTTTTAAATAAACACAATGTATTTTTTTTATTGGTAACAGCTATTATTAATCTGTGAGCTCCTTAACTGCTATATACTTGTATCTCCAAGAGCCTGCTACAGGGTGGGCACAATGCATCCTGAATTGGATAGAATTTTAATTACAAACTTTTTTTTTTCTTTTTTTTTTTTTTAAGAGTCAGAGTCTCATGCTGTCACTCAGGCTGGAGTACAGGGGGATGATCATAGCTCAGTGCAGCCTCAAACTCCTGGCCTCACACAGTTCTCCCGCCTCAGCTGGGACTACAGGAGTGAGACACTGCACCTGGTCATCTTAAGCATGACTTAGTCTTACATATTGTGTTGCTATCACCTGACTGCTTGGGAGCGCTCATACAATGTAAAACAAATGAATAAGTTGCAAGTGAGCATTTAAGAAAGAACTGGAAAGAGCTAGTCATGCTTAGTCAGCTTGGTGCTGTGGTATTGAGGGTGTATTTCACTGTGGTTTTTATATTAGACACTTGGAATAGATAGTCTGATAAACTGCGCCTAGTCCACGAAACAGGTGAAATCTGACAATAGTTTACAGGATTGTGCAAAGAGCCTGTCAGCTGCTTGGGCTCTGCCTCCTGGGATGGAGAACATCTGCACAGGTGCCTCATGGAGGCAGAAGAGTAGTGGTAGTGGACATCTGGGTTCAAGGGAAGGCATCAATATAAAATGTTGTTTGGGTAGGCTACAGTAGTGGTCCCTGACATTTTTGGCACCAGGGATTGGTTTCATGGAAGAAAATTTTTATACAGGTTGAAGGGATTGGGATCAGGGGTGGCGGGGGATGGTTTCAGGATGAAACCACCTCAGATCATCAGGCATTAGATTCTCTTAAGTAGCTTGCAACCTAGATCCCTTGCATGTGCAGTTCACAGTAGGGTTTGTGCTCCTATGAGAATCGGATGCAGCCACTGATCTGACAGGATGCGGAGCTCAGGCAGTAATGCCGGCTCACCCTCCACTCACCTCCTGCTGTGTAGCCCAGTTTCTCACAAGCCACAGACAGGTACTGGTCTGCGGCTCAGGGATTGGGGACCCCTGGGTTAGAGAACACCTGAATGTGGGAGGGCCAGTCCCTTGCCTCTGTTATTCCTGTAAATTCAGAAACTGAAAGGATTAGAAACTGTTCCCTTGAGGACCCCCCTTGCTGACTAACTGTCAGCAAGTCAGCTGAACGAAGGCTGATCATGTAAATAAAGTAACCAGATGGTAGGAGTCAGGGATTTGTTTGTTTCTACCTTTCCAGGGTCTATCTCAATGAGGTGATAAGGAAATTGGGAGCTGTGCTCTGAGCAATAGGACCTAGTAAGGGCGAGGCCATACCTGGCTGACAGTGTACACAGGGGGCACCAAAGTATCCTGCCCCAAGTCTTCATGGCTCCAGACAGCACTGAAGGTGGCATGTGTTCTTGAGGAGAAGTGAAGGATCAGCTGCTGGGCTTGGGTATCCATGCTCACATTCCAGGATGTGAGAGACCCTGTTTGGGGCGGAGTGGGGAAGGTTGATAGGAGCTGGGCTTCAGGTGATGAATTCAAGACTGGGCTAGGGTTTAGCTTGGTCACAGTTGGGTAAGGATGAAATGGGGCAGGAGCTCCTGGCAGAGGTCCCTTGTAGGCTCACCAGTCTGGTGGGGGCATTCGACATGGCTGCTGTTTCCAAAAGAGAACTGAGAAATACAGGAAGCACAGGTTAGCAAGTCCAGGCAGTACCTAGTACCCCCACATCTTTTCTCAGCCATGGTTATACCTTGAAGCAGAGCTGGGGGTGCAGGTCCACCTTCTCCAAAACATACCACTGCAGGAGGAGAGGAGAATTTGTCAGGGAGAAAATCCCTGGCCCCAGCCCTGCCCGCCCTAGTCCTGTGGGGGGTGAGGGGCATCCTCACCCCCTCTGACTCTTGAGCCGTGGCATTCGGGAGGTCTTTGCAAACAGTATGCCAGTCGTGCCTCTGGCAGAGGGCAGCTTCCAGCTTCAGTGGGCAGCGGAGTGTCAGGGCCATGACCATCTGAGTGTGCTGGCTGTGGTCAGTGAAATGCACTGACTTCCAGAAGTCTGAGCCATCTAGGAAGGTGTCAGGGTCAGTGGGTGAGGGTCAGCCCTGCTTCAGCCCCACCCTGCCACCCACATCCTGGGGTCAGCAGGAGATGATGTTTGCAAAAGTAACCAGCACTATTCCTGGCCTGAACAGGTATTCAAGCAATGAGCACCCCTTTCATTAACTTTCTTTTTCTTTTCTTTTTTTGAGACAGAGTCTCATTCTGTCACCCGGGCTGGAGTGCAGTGGTCCGATCTAGGCTCACAGCAACCTCTGCCTCCCAGGTTCAAGCAATTCTTATGCCTTAGTATCTGGGATTACAGGCATGTTCCACCAAGCCCAGCTAATTTTTGTAATTTTAGAGAAGGGGTTTCACCATGTTGGCCAGGCTGGTTTTGAACTCCTGACCTCGTGACCCACCTGCCTCAGCCTCCCAAAGTGCTGGGATTACAGGTGTGAGCCACCATGCCCAGCCCCCTTTCATTATCTTTCTGTTTTTGTTTTGTTTTGTTTTTTTTGTTTTTGAGACAGATTCTCACTCTGTTGCCCAGGCTGGAGTGCAGTTGCCTAATCTCAGCTCACTGCAACCTCCGCCTCCTGAGCTCAAGCGATTCTCCTGTCTCGGCCCCCCAAGTAGCTGGGACTACAGGCATGCACTACCACACCTAGCTAATTTTTTGCTATTTTTAGTAGAGATGGGATTTCACCATGTTGGCCAGGGTGGTCTCAAACTCCTGACCTAAGATGATCTGCCCGCCTCAGCCTCCCAAAGTGCTGGGATTACAGGTGTGAGCCACTGAGCCCAGCCTCATTATCTTTCTATCCAGCTGTCTCTCTCCTCTTCTTCCCAGGCCTACATTCTGGCCAGTTCCTTGTTTCTCCCCAAACTCGAAATCTGATTAGGATTCTCTCAGAACCAGGAATGCCTTCCCCTCCTATCTCTCTGTTTCCAAATCCTGCTCTTTTTCTGACCCCAGCTCAGGTGCCACTTACTTCCCCTAAGAGGCCTTCTCTGCTTACGATGGCCCTTTTTAGGCTTCTCCCTTTCCTGAGTTATTGTCCTACAGCCTAATCCTTATTTATAACCCTGCCCTGTAAGTTTTGTAAGCTGCTTTGTGCGGTCACTTGTGTCTGAGTGTCCTGCCTCTCCTCGAGAAAAACAACTTGAACACAGCACTTCAGACATCAATGGCCACTTTCACATGTAATATTTAACTCAAGCTTCACAAACACTTTGAAGGCAGAGCAGGTATTAAGATTTTAGATGAGGAAAGTGAGGCTCAGAGAACAACTGACAGAACTGGGATGGGAACTGGGTCTTCTGGCCCATCCTCTTAGGACACCAGAATCTCCTAGGCCTCATATTTCTAAACTTCTTACAGTGCTGCAGTGCTCAGCACTCTCTGATCTATTGGCAAGCTGACTGGTAGACTTGGCAGCCCTCTTCTCCCACTGACTCCAGGGAAAGTACCTGCATACCTTCTGGGGCTTCCACCAACACAGGTGTGAAGGGTGTTTATGTGTGTGTGTGTAGGAGACAGAGACAGAGGGTGTGTACATGCACAAGGGTGCATGTCAGCCACACTCACAGGCTTCTGGCCAGCTCTGGAAGGGACATCTTTTGCGCCTCACAGTGTCCTCTTGCAGGTAGGATGCCTAGGGGAACAGGGGAGCAGGTGGGAAGGGTCAGAGGAAAGGCTTTTCTAATCTTGCTTAGACATAAAACTCATTCTGGCTTTACCTTATTGTGAAACAAGCTGCTGGAGCAGGCTAGGTACTGAACAGGGTGGGCAATGTGGGGTGGGGACAAGGGTGGGGAGGAACTGCAGAACATAGGAGAGAGATCAGCAAGTGAGGGGCTGACTCCTCTTCCTCCTAAAGAGAACTATCCCCAGAAAGAGGGAAATTCTGAAGTCACATTTCTCAGCTTTGGCCTTCTCTGACCTCCACTCTCAGCCATCACCGAGGTACCCAGTGCTCTGTGTCGGCTCCTGACTCTGGAATACCCAAATGCCCACCTGCTGTCCACCCTGGCAATTGCTCATGGCTCTAGGTCTCTGCCAGCACCCTCCCTTAGGTCTCCCAGGTGACAATCTCCCTTGCCTTTTCTGTCTAGTCCAAAGAAAACGTTCTGCTATGTTCCTTAGACTTGTAAAGAGAGAAGGAGGACTGCCACAGAGGCTTAGAGGGGACAAGACTTTTGGGGACATATAGAACCTTGCAGTGGCCATGCACACATTCCTTCCTTAGCTCCTCAGAACACACAGCGATGACAGCTGTCTATTCTGGCTCTGTGGGCTGAGGCCAGGTCTGGGGAGGGAAAGCTGGGTTTGGATGGGGCTGAGGTTGGAATCACCCTAAGAAGGTCCAATGTTCAGCAGGATCCTTCCACCTCTGACCCAGTGTGTGGCTCACAGCCAAGCTAGCGCCAGTCTTCCTAAGCATGCCAGTTAACACCCAGTCCTTTAAAACCTGACTTACTAGAGATATGCTTGACCAACTGTACTACCTTGGGGGCCTAGGAGCAGAGCCATGGACAGCCCACACCTTTTCCTTTGCTCACCTCTATGCACAGACAGGGCAGAAGGAATTCATAAGACAGTTCTACAGTGTGGCCCCCAGACACGATTTTCTGTGGATGAAGCACCAAAGGAAGACAAAAGATGCCTGAGAAAGAGCATAGCACATAGATAGGGCAGGAGGGAGCTGGGATCTTGGTCAAAACACACTGGATTTTCCCTCTTATATGAGACACTCATACTAAGAAATCTCCTCTCAAAGATTCTCTGCTTAGTAATCTAACCATTAGCTCTAGGTGCTCTAGGTGGAGCTGGGGGGAAGGAGACTGGAATACATTCCTTTATTGAGGCCCTACTATATGCCAAGGAGTGTGGTGGGTGCTAGAAGCATTAAATCAATTAACTCCTTGCTAGCATCACAGTGACCTTATGAAGTATCCTCACTGTTATAAAAATGTAGAGAGCTGAGGGCTCAGGGTTACAGCAGCAGTCCTTGCAAATGGTACCAACTGTATACAATGGCATTCATGACAAAGGGAGGTTGAGGTGGGATGTTAGGGCCCAGATTGGGAGAATGGGGAACATCTCATTCTATGAGAGACAGGAACAAAGGGAAGGAGATGGAAGGGTACCAAGACAGATGTGACCATTTTGTTATGTTCTCTGGGGGTAACAGCCTCTTTGGGGAACTCAAAAGCCTTTTCAAAAAAAATTTTTTTTTTTTTTTTTTGAGATGGAGTCTTGCTCTGTCATCAGGCTGGAGTGCAGTAGCGCCATCCTGGTTCACTGCAACCTCTGCGTTGTGGGTTCAAACGATTCTCCTGCCTCAGCCTCCCAAGTGGCTGAGACTATAGGTGTGCACCACCATGCCCAGCTAATTTTTGTATTTTTAGTAGAGGTGGGGTTTCACTGTGTTGACCAGGATGGTCTCAATCTCTTGACCTTGTGATCTACCCACCTCAGCCTCCCAAAGTGCTGGGATTACAGGCATGAGCCACCGTGCTTGGCCTTAAATTTTTAATTACATTTCCTTTTTCTTACTTGTCACTAACTTGAAGCTCAAGAAAAGGCTTCTTAATACCCGAGTCACACTGAGGAGCCTCTCACTGGGGATAAATACCATACTAATTTCTCTGCTCATTTATGGTCATTCATGGCTGCTCTAGGTCTCTGCCTCCCTTTCCTTTTGTTACAGGTGACAAGGCCCTCTGCCTTTTCTGTCTAGTCCAAGGAAGTCTTTCTTTTAATTTTTTTTTTAATGTAGCAGCAGGATTTCACTATGTTGCCAAGCTGGTCTTGTACTCCTGGCTTCAAGCAATCCTCCTGCCTTGGCCTCCCAAAGTGCTGGGACCACAGGTGTAAGCCACCATGCCAGGTCCAAAGAAGTCTTAATGATAGAGCCTTTAGCTTGTAAGGAGGTCTTGGACAGTTTACCTTCCCTTTCTGGGCCTCAATTTCCCCATTTGTACAATGGGTGGCCTCTCTTGCTAGCACTGTGTGATCAGGCTTTTTATAGGGGGATGACATGCCATACCTGGACATCATAGGGACTGCTCAGCTCTTCACACTGCAGTGCCCACTGGTGACAAAGACGCACACTGACCTCAGGGCCTGAAGGTATAGTCACCCGAATAGCCCGGGCCTCATACAGCAAATCAAAGGAGAACTCGGGCCCTGGGGAGAAGAAGGACTCAGTGGCCTTATCTCTTGACCTTAGCATCAGTACCACTCGGCTGAACCCATCTCCTGTTCCACCCTGTTCCCACCTCTGTGCCTTTGTGAGTCCAATCTAGGAAGACTTTTCCATGCCTCTGGATCTGAAGGTTGGGTCCTTTTAGAGCGAAATCCCTTGTGGGAGATATCTGGGGAGGGGATGGAAATGTGATGGCTCTTCTCAGACAGGCGACGACTAAGAAGCAGCTTCCTCTAAAGGCAGAGAACAAGGTTGGTCTCAGGCCAGGAATTGGGAAACCTGGTTTCTGTTTCTGCCTCTGGAACCCAAGGTACCGCAGGCAAGTTGCTTAAACTCTTTTGGCCACAGTTTCCCTAGCTGTGTAATAGACAGAATACTTTATCTCTATACTCTCTCACATGGCTGGAGAACTGAATGAGAAGCCAGAAAGCAAAGGTCTGTGGGGCATTGGGTAGGGCTGGAACTGACAAGGAGAGTACCTGAACAGGTGCTGGGATCTTGTGTTTCCTACAGAACTTGAATGTGGAAGGCTTTTTGGATTTCTGCACCAGGAGGCCGAAGAAGCCCCGCTGAAGACCTGTGTGGGGGGCAGAGAGACATATTTACTATTAAGCCCCCATTACCCCTGCCCTACCTGGAGATGTGGCCCAGTGTTAGATAGTAAGTCATTTTAAATCAAGGAGGATAAGGGTATCAAGTTCCTTAGTCTTGAAAATTATGACGCTATCAAGAAAGGATTAATTTCTTAAGTATAGAAAAAACGATATATACAAAGATATTCATTTTAGCATTTTTTTCTCTTTCTTTCTTTCTTTCTTTCTTTCTTTCTTTCTTTCTTTCTTTCTTTCTTTTTGAGACAGAGTTTTGTTCTGTCACACAGGCTGGAGTGCAGTGGCACAATCATTGCTCACTGCAGTCTTGAACTCTTGGGCTTAAGCAATCCTCTCACCTCAGCCTCCTAAGTAGCTGGGACTACAGGCATGTGCCAGCACACCCAGCTAGTTAAATTTGTTGTTGTTGTTGAGACAGGGTCTAACTATGTTGTCCAGGGTGGTTTCAAACTCCTGGGCTCAAGTGATCCTCCCATCTTGGCCTCCCTAAGTAGCTGGGAGTACAGGCAAGCATCACCATGCATGGCTAATTTTTAAAAAGCAGTTTTTTCATAGAGATAGGGTGTCACTATGTTGCCCAGGCTGGTTTTGAACTCCTGGACTCAAGTAATATCCCTGCCTTGACCTCCCAAAAGCATTGGAATTACAGGTGTGAGCTACCACGCCTGGCCTGTGGCATTATTTCTTTCTCTCTTTTTTTTTTTTTTTTAAACAGAGTCTCGCTCTGTTGCCCAGGCTGGAGTGCAATGGTGCGATCTCGGCTCATTTCAACCTCCACCTCCCAGGTTCAAGGAATTCCCCTGCCTCAGCCTCCCAAGTAGTTGGGATTATAGGCATGCGCCACCATGCCTGGCTAATTTTTGTATTTTTAGTAGAGATGGGGTTTCACCATGTTAGCCAGCCTGATCTCAAATTCCTACTCCTGACCTCAGGTGATCTGCCCACCTTGGCCTCTCAAAGTGCTGGTATTACCAGGCATGAGCCACAGTGCCCAGCCCTATAGCATTACTTCTAACAGCAAACAATGAGAAAAATTAGAAACTGCCCATTCTTTTGTTTTTTGGGTTTTTTTTTGACACAGGGTCTCACTCTGTCATCCAGGCTGGAGTGCAGTGGCACTATCTTGGCTTACTGCAACCTCTGCCTCCTGGGTTCAGGTAATCCTCCCACCTCAGCCTCCCAAGTAGCTGGGTCTACAGGTGTGCACTGCCACATCCAGCTAATTTTTGTATTTTTCTGTAGAGATAGGGTTTTGCAATGTTGGCCAGACTGGTCTCAAACTCCTGGACTCAAGCGATCTACCCACCTTGGCCTCCCTGGGTGCTGGGATTACAGCCGTGAACCACCACACCCAGCCCAGAAACTGCCAATTCTTTTTTTTCTTTTTTTTTTTTTTGAGACAGAGTTTCACTCTTGTTGCCCAGGCTGGAGTGCAATCAGATAATCTCGGCTCACTGCAACCTCTGCCTCCAGGGTTCAAGCGATTCTCCTGCCTCAGCCTCCCAAGCATCTGGGATTATAGGTGCCTGCCACCACGCCCTGATAATTTTTTTGTATTTTTAAGTAGAGATGGGGTTTCATCACATTGGCTAGGCTGGTCTTGAACCAGGTGATCTGCCTGCCTTAGCCTCCCAAAGTGCTGGGATTACAGGCGTGAGCCACTGTTCCTGGCCCAGAAACTGCCAATTCTTAAGAATGCAAGGGCATTTAGTATGTACCAGGCACTGAGCTGAGCAATTAAAATATAGAGTTGAATAAGAAAGAAGATCCTGCTTTACAAATAGAAGGTAATAACAGTAAATTCATAACTTTTAATTCCAAGAATCTCAGCTGAAAAAAATTAATATCTTCACAAAATTGTACGACTGCACTTGTGAATATCCGTCATAGCATGCTATTTTAGGATGATCCAAGTCCCTTTTGAGGTTAAAACAAGAAAAATATCTGTTCTAGTAAGTCCCACTTGCCTCAGCCTAGGTGGCCCCTCAGAATGTCCCCAATTCATCTCTTCACTGAGAACGGTCCAAGGGGCTGTTTCTCATACCTGAGTGACCTGACAGTAGATGCTGGCACAAACAGCGGGAACAGTGCCAGACTCGTGCACACCAACGCTTTGTGGAGAAGCAGGCCCACCAGGTGTGGCAAGGGATATGGGCAGAACTTCCTGGGAAAGATGGAAAGGAAAGCAAATGATAGGGTCTAAGAAGGTTCCTCCTACCTCAGACAAGCTGGATTTGAGGCCAAGCTCTGTTACTTACATCCTGGAAGTGTGACTTTGGGGGTTACAGGACCTGTCTAAGGGTCAAATTCCTCATTCATAAAGCAGGTCTGTTATAAAAATCAAAATAGTGCATGGGAAAATGTCTTGTGAAGTAGAACATACCATAAAACAGAATTATTGTTGTATTACTGATAGAAGTGAGGGACCAGGGGAGGAAGCAACATTTACAGAGTTGCCTGGAGATTTACCCATGTCTCTCATCTAATCCTCCCTACAGATCAGAAGCAACACTACATTTCAGTGTACAATCATTTCTACTATGCCCCTCAGAAACTGAAGTTCAGTGGAGGGGGTAGGTGCACAGTCTGAGGCCACATGGGAGTCTGGCAGAACAGCAATGAGAATCCAGGCTTGTCATGATTCCAAACTTTTTTCTTGATATTGTGCTACTTCCTAGGTTGGGAACCAAAAATTAGAACGGAGGGCTTGCTGGGCATCTGGAAAAACAGTGGGCATGGGGAGGAGCAATGGGGCAGGAAATGCGACTCACCAGTGAAACTGTCATCCTGAGGCAAAGGGCCCAGCAAGGAAAAGAAAGGAAAGAGCTTTTATTAGGAGGGACTCCCAAAAGAAGCATTCCTGGGTTCTTTGCCTCAAATCAGCGAATTCTAAGCCCCATAGCTAATAGCCCATACCCTCTAGCTCTTTTCTTCCCAGCTCCACCCCGTCCAGGCCTTCAGCACAAAGGACCTTGGCTACCCCTTTGGGACTATGTAGAGGATACACCAAAGCTGTCACCAGAGCACAGGGACTGGGGAGGTAGCACAGGGACTGGGGAGGTAACACAGGGACTAGGGAGGTAGCACAGGGCAGGCAGGGGAGCAGAGAGCTTTATGGCTGTGCCAGGCAGGTGTCCCTACCTGGCAGCAGCACCTTACCATGTGTGAGGCCAGAGGACCCCGGGTGTTCCAGCGGGGCAGGTGGGGACAGCCAATCCCAGCAGAGTCAGAGAGGTCAATGAATATCAGGAGGAGAGGCAGGAGCAGGGCTGCTGGTCTGGAGCGCCCCATGGGCTTCTATGCAGTTAAGGCTCCTGGAACATGGCTGCATGGCCTGAAGGTAGGTGGCAGGGCCTTGCTGTGCAGCAGCAAAGAACACAAAACCAGCAGGAGCCCTTGCCTGAGCCTGCCCTAGCCCCGCCCTGACCCCGCCCTGCCGGAAAGCTCCTCCTCGATCCTAACCACCCAGCCAGGCCACATTCCTTCTCCTCCAAGTGGAAGGACTGAAGGAAGCTGGTGCCCCCCAAAACCCTACTGCCCCCACCTGAAAGACAAGGGGCTCCTGCTGTGGCTGAGAAGTAACAGGAAAGGAGCTAGCATCAAGTTGGGGAGCTCACCCATTTCTTAGCCCCTCCTACTCCTGAAACACACTGCAGATTTGACCCACCCATCAGCACACTCCTAAACTTGTCTCCCACGGACATGAGCTTAACCCCTTTACTTAGAGAATTAACAGATCTCTGGGTGCTAGAGATACAGAGGTGTCTGAGGCATCATTTAGAGAGGGGAGAAAAAAAAGCACTCTAGGATGCATGTGAACCCCATACGTATCTTGCTTCCCACCTGGTTAACTCTCAGGACTATAACCAAGCTCTCTCTACCCATGAGCCAGGTCCAGCTCTTCTAGGCAAAGGGCTCCACGCCAAAGGGGCCTCTAGCTTCAAGGACCTACTAGTCACTACAGCCTGATCAGGAAGCCCCAGAACTCATAGCTGAACCCTGGAGCAGAGGGAGTGGGCCCCATGCACTGACCTGGTTTCCTGTGGTTTCCGGTGCTGGAGAAAGGCTGACGAGGCTCCATCTTTGTGGGAACCCTCCCCATCATCCCACAGCTTCCTCCCCCTCATGGAGCATTTGAACTGCTTCAGCCCGCACCTTGGTAACACACACACTGGAAAAAAAGTTTGGGGCACATCTAGCAGGTCAAGGCATCTTGAGATTGTTATTGTCCCCCTGTAACTCAATCTAGACCACCTTTCAGTAGCCTAACCCCAGCCTGCTTTTGGCCAATTCTATGCCAGTCTTTAGGTTCATTGACTGAAGGCTGCATCCTACCCATTATCCTAAATATACCCTCTAGCTTTTGAGTTCATGAAAGGATAAAAACTCTTATTCTTTATGTTTCTCCAAGCCTAGCGTGGATATCATGAAGTATGTGCTGTGTAATTGAATAAATATCATGATACATTTCAGCTATGTAGTTTATCTGTTTCACACTTCACAGAGCACTTTCATATTTAATCCTTCTAACCCTACCTTGTGAGACAGGTGATAATTATTGTTTTCATTTCATAAAAAGAGAGATAAGGAAGCAGATTGATAATGACTTTGTCAAGGTCAAAGTCTATATCCCAGGGAGCTCCACTTTTGCTAGGCCCTCGCAACTCAATTCTTTTTTTTTGAGATGGGAGTCTCACTCTGCCACCCAGGGTAGAGTGCACTGGCACAATCTCGGGTCAGTCCAATCTCTGCCTTCCAAGTTCAAACAATTCTCCCACCTCAGCCTCCTGAGTAGCTGGAATTACAGCTGTGTGCCACCACACCAGGCTAATTTTGGTATTTTCAGTAGAGACGGGTTTCACCATGTTGGCCAGGCTGGTCCCGAACTCCCGACCTAAGGTGATCCAAGCCTGCCTTGGCTTCCCAAAGTGCTGGGATTACAGGCATGAACCACAGCGCCAGGCCTTTTTTCTTTTGAGATAGTATCACTTTGTCACCCAGGATGGTGCAATCTTGGCTCACTGCAACTTCCGCCTCCCAGGTTCAAGTGATTCTTGCGCCTCAGCCTTCTGAGTAGCTGGGATTATAGTTGTGCACCACTATGCCTGGCTAGTTTTTTGTATTTTTAGTAGAGACAGGGTTTTGCCATGTTGGGCAGGCTGGTCTTGAACTCTTGGCCTCAAGTAATCCACCTGCCTCAACCTTTCAAATTGCTAGGATTACAGGCATGGGCCACTGTGCTTAGTCCTAATTCTCTATCATCCTATGGTCCCCCCTCCCATGGCCTTATCCTCATTTGCTCTGGGAACAGTCTGTCTGACATAGACCCTAACACAGTATTGCCTTTTAGCTTTGAAGCCAATCTCTGCAAATAAAACCATAAGATCTGAAGGGAGGAAAGGGTGGCTTGACATACTAAGAATAGGTTAGGGAGCCTTCCCCCAAATTCTACCTAACTCACAGTGGTTTAGAGCTACATAAATTATGTTTTGTTTTTTTTTTTCTTTTTTTTTTTTTTGAGACAGAGTCTCACTCTATCACCCAAGCTGGAGGACAATGGCATAATCACCACTTACTGCAGCCACCACCTCCTGGGCTCAAGTGAATCTGCCTTTTACAGGCACATGCCATTTTGCCTGGCTATAGGGTCTGGCTATGATCCTCAGGCTGGTCTCCCAACTCCTGGCCTCTAGCAATTCTCCTGCCTCTGCTTCCCAAAGTGCTGGGATTACAGTTGTGAGCCACTGCGCCTGGCTAATAATGAGTTTTTCTAATGCTGAAGGGATGAAGTGAGAAACATGGTTCTATTCTAAAACAATCCTTCTTCTTAACTCTTATCTTCTCATCTCTCACAGAGAAAATATTGATTAATTTCTCCTAGTTAAGCTATGGGAGGAAAAGCAGAAAAGAAATAAAGACAAGAAAGAAATGGAGAAGGAAGGGAGGGAGGGAAGAAGGAAGAAAGGGAAGGAGGGAAGAAGGGAGAGAAGAAGGGAGGGAGGGAGGACAGGAGGAGGAGAGAGGGAAAGAGGAAAGAAAGGGAAGAAAAACAGCATTCCAGGACCCGCTGGAAAAGTAAAAGGAATAAAGGTGAGGAAGAAATGGGGGGAAAGCAAAGGAGGCATTTTATTTATTGTCTTGCTGGTTTATTCATGTGGACACTGTTCCAAAAAGTATTTAAGGTAAGACGCACAGGGGTGAATTCTGGCACAATCTAGGGTTGGAGAGGGATGGGATCAACATTTGCTGAAATCCTACTATCAGGCTCTGGGTCATGCATTTTGCCCAGTTTATTTTATTTGTACTACAACCCTTGAGTTCAGTTTTACTACCTCATTTTACAGACTGGGAAATAGGAAGATTAGGTAAAGTCCAAACACAGCTAAGAGCTGAAGTCAGCCCCTCACTTGCTGATCTCTCTCCTATGTTCTGGAGTTCCTTCCCACATTGTCCCACCCAGGCAACTTGCATCATGGTTAGGTAAAGCCAGGATGAGTTTTAGGTCTGTGAGACTGGAAAAAGCCTTTCCTCTGACCCTCCCTACCTGCTCCCATCCCCCCAGGCATCCTACCTGCAAGAGGACACTGTGAGGTGCAAAAAAATGTCCCTTCCAGAGCTAGCTGGAAGCCTGTGTGGTTGAGATGCACCCTTGTGCACACACACGCCCTGTCTCCGTCTCCTACACACACAGATACGCGCAAACACACTTCACACTTGTGTTGGTGGAAGCTCCCAGAAGGCATGCAAGTGCTTTCCCTGGAGTCAGTGGAGGAAAAGGGCTGCCAAACCTACCAGTCAGCCTGCCAATAGATCAGAGAGCACTGAGCGCTGCAGCACTGTGAGAAGTTCAGAAATATGAGGCCTAGGAGATGGTGTCCTAAGAGGATGGACCAGAAGACTTGGGTTCCCATCCCTGTCAATTATTCTTCTCTGAGTCTCACTTTTTTCATCTGGGACTTACCACTATGTCTTCCTGGCCCTTTCCGCCAGAACACACTACTTAGGGAGATCAGAGGGTTTCTGGACCATGTAGTTCTCAGAAAGTACTAAACTTAGCAGTGCGATACAACTGACAGGGTTAACAATGTAAAGAAAGAAACTGAAATTGTTGGAAAGAAAGGAAAGTAGATTTTATAATCATGAGTTACCAGAGGTTAGACTTGTAGGAGAGTTGGGATTGTTTGGCAAGTGTCAATAGGGAGGAGTAAATGTGGCTGGAATAGGAGGTGGCCAATTGGAGTAAAGGAAACAAAGGTGTGTTGTAAGGCCCTGTCTTATTGGCAGGTGGTAAGGCCTGACTCAGCTGTAGTTTGTGTCAAAATGAGCTAACCACGACTTCATGCTTAATAGCCTTTACCTGGGAACCAAGTCAGGAGCTCAGGAAGTCCTGGCAGGCCCCTGCACGTGCTTAGGAGAGAGTGCACTGTGGGGACCTTGGGCAGCTGTTTTTCTTGTCACAACCTTATCTGTGCATGAACTCTGGTCAGACGTCAGACCATGGAACAGTAGCTCCAGGTTGTTTCTGTAATGGCCAATTTCTAATGTCTTCTGGGACAACTCTGTTCACTGATAGGGAACCCTGGGCAGGAAGGCCCACCAATTAGATCAGTGTAAACCAAGAGTGGGCAAGTATCCCTTCTTTATATCTGCTCTTCCAGAAGGATCAACCTCCAGAATTTTTTTTTTTTTGAGACAGTCTCGCTCTGTCACCCAGGATGGAGTGCAATGGCATGATCTCGGCTCACTGCAACCTCTGCCTCCTGGGTTCAAGCGATTCTCCTGCCTCAGCCACCTGAGTAGCTGGGATTACAGGCATGTGTCACCATGACCGGGTAATTTTTGTATGTTTGGTAAAGACAGGGTTTCTCCATGTTGGTCAGGCTGGTCTTGAACCCCCAACCTCAGGTGATCCACCCACCTTGGCTTCCCAAAGTGCTGGAATTACAGGTGTAAGCCACCACCCCCAGCCAACCTCCAGAATTCTGAGGCAAGAAATTATTGCTGAGAGGTACAGACTCCCCAGTCTTAGTGAGGAAGCCAACACTGCTCATCAAGGGAAGGCATTGTTACTTATTAAACCCCAACTATGTACTAGCCTGTTCATACATATTATCTATCTAAGCCTCAAAACAACCCTGGGGGTAGCTAAAATGATGCCCATCTGTCAGATCAAAAACAGAGGCTCAGGTATCTTGCTTAAGGCAAAAGTCAGTAAAATGACTGGCTGGAATTCACACCTATGTCATCAGTCTAACATCAGAAACTGTCAGCCAGCCGGGCACAGTGACTCATGCCTGTAATCACAGCACTTTAGGAGGATGAGGTGGGAAGATCACTTAAGGTAAGGAGTTTGAGACCAGCCTGGCCAACTTGGTGAAACCCCTTCTCTACAAAAATTTGCCGGGTGTGAGCAGACATTGCAGTGAGCTGAGATTGTGCCACTGCACAGCCTGGGTGACAGAATGAGTCTCAAAAAAAAAAAGGAAACTGTTCATTCTACTATACCACATTGCCTTGATGATCTCAAATAGTCCCTTCAACTCCTATATTCTCTAGTCCTATAAATATCAGGAAATAAATAACCATCTTTCACATTTGTATAATACTACACAGTTCATAAAGCACTTTCACAATATTTCACCTTATTTGATCTTTTTTTTTTTTTTTTTTTTAGAGTCTTGCTCTGTTGCCCAGGCTGGAGTACAGTGGCGTGATCTTGGCTTACTGCAACCGCTGCCTCCTGTGTTCAAGCAATTCTCCTGCCTCAGCCTCCAGAGTAGCTGGAATTATAGGCACCTACCACCATGCCCAGGTAATATTTGTATTTTTAGTGGAGACAGGGTTTCACCGTGTTGGCCAGACTGGTGTCAAATTTCTAACCTCAGGTGATTTGCCTGCCTCAGCCTCCCAAAGTGCTGTGATTACAGGTATGAGCCACTGCGCCCAGCCACCTTATTTGATCTTTTAAACAATCTGTGAAATACAGAGGGCTGATTTTAGTCCTACGATTGGTAGTTGCATTGGTACTTGAACATGTCTTCTGATTCAAATAATGTTCTTTCTACTAAATCAAGATCCAGTAAGGGAATCTTGTTTGCTTCAGGGAACACTACAAACATGAGGCAGGAAAAAGTAATAGTAAAAGGAGAATTCCAACAACCTAAGAAGCAGAAAACTAACATAAACCAAATGATTTTGGGTGGTTTGCATTGTTGACAATAATTTTCATAATGGGTCTTTGACAGTACTCTAAGTCCATAAAGTACCATTCCAGGTGGGCACGGTGGCTCATGCCTGTAATCCCAGCACTTTGAGAAGCTAAGGTAGGCAGATCATCTGAGGTCAGGAGTTGAAGTCCAGCCCGACCAACACGGAGAAACTCCATCTCTACTAAAAATACAAAAAATTAGCCAGGCGTGGTGACACATGCCTGTAATCCCAGCTGCTGGGGGGGCTGAGGCAGGAGAATGGCTTGAATCCGGGAGGCGGAGGTTGTGGTGAGTCAAGATCGCGCCATTGCACTCCAGCCTGAGCAACAAGAGTGAAACTGTTTCCAAAAAAAAAAAATACCATTCCAGTAACCAAAGAAATTTCAAACTATTTGCATCATCCCAATTCTTTAAAAATGAGCAATCTGTGTCTGGTGCACATACTAACTCCATTATCCATACATTTCCATCTACTTCTGCTCTCCAAATTTCATCTGTACTTCAGTTTGGTTTTATCCTCTGTGAAATACACCCTGACTTTAGTTTACAATAATTCTGTCAAGAATGCATATGAGGCCAGGCACAGTGACTCAGGCCTATAATCCCAGCACTCTGGGAGGATGAGGCAGGAAGATCACCTGAGGTCAGGAGTTCGAGACCAGCCTGGCCAACATGGTAAGATCCTGTCTCTACTAATAATACAAAAATCAGTCAGGCATGGTGCCACTCCCAGCTACTCAGGAGGCTGAGGCAGGAGAATCACTTGAACCTGGGAGGGAAAGTTGCAGTGAGCCCTGATCACCCCACTGCACTTCAGCCTGGGGAACAGAACAAGACTCTGTCTCAAAAAAAAAAAAAAAAAAAAAAAAAAAAAAGAATTGCATGTCTTTCACACCTCTTGCGCAGTACCTAAAATCAGTAAAATAAGAACTCAAAAGCTGGGCGTGGTGGCTCATGCCTGTAATCATGAAGCAGGTAGATCATGGCGTCAGGAGATAGAGACCATCCTGGCTAACATGGTAAAACCCCATCTCTACTAAAAATACAAAAATTAACCAGGTGTGGTGGCACATGCCTGCAGACCCAGCTACTCGGGAGGCTGAGGTACGAGAATTGCTTGAACCTGGGAGGCAGAGGTTGCACTGAGCTGAGATCACGCCACTGCACTCCAGCCTGGGTGACAGAGGGAGACTCTGTCTCAAAAAAAANAAAAAAAAAAATGAAAAAAAAAAAAACAACGAACTCAGATTTCACATTCCTTGAAGGAACCAGAAAGCTCAAGAATTACCATATTAACTGGGTCTGAAGGGATAATTAATAAAGCAATGTAAAAACAGAAAAGGGAAATTTTTAAGCAAAGGAAACTGGGAAACCATGAAACCTACATGGGGATCCATAAGAGGTTTAGTTGACTAAGACAGTGTGGAACTGGAAGTATTAGGAAATAATGCAGGACTGATGGATTGGGACCACTTTGGAAATCTCAGAGCTTAAGGCATTTAAGTTGTACCACTTAATAGTAGGGACTTAATGATCATGGAACAGATGATCCAGAGCTGTACTCTTGGTATACTCACTCGAACACAGGGATGAAGGAAGAGGAATGGGTATGAGGCAGAAAGGCAAAGGTCTGTTTGGGACATACTGATTTTGAGATGATAATTATGACATCTAGAGGAAGAGGTTTTAGAGCTGCAAGTACTGTCAGCCACGCACGACGGTCACGCCTGTAATCCAAGCACTTTGAGACCAAGGCAGAATTTCTTGAACCTGGTACGTAGAGGTGAGCTGAGATGGCGCCACTGCATTCCAGCCTGGATGAGGGAAATAAAATCCTGCCTTAAAAAAAAAAGTGACTCAGTAATAGTAACTAGGTACATACATGTTTATGGAACAAAATAATGACTACGACTCTGGAGAGGGCAGAGCTCCGCAATTAGAGATCTGGGCATCATCCAGAGACAATAAAGTCAAGTGCAAAGAGATACATATCTTCCATGTGAAAAATACTGTGCGTCTGAATTTTAGGTGTGAAAGGACCTTTAGTTTAATCACAGATCTCTCCCTGTCTTTAATGTATGTGCTCCACATTATTAGATATTATGTTCACTGGTTTCACATGAATAACAAGTTTTACTACATTATAAACTCCCCATAAACAGAGGTACTTTAAAATTCTTTTGGTTGCCATTATACAGTAACAGATTCATTAACTCTGAATGGTAGATGTGAATATCCAACTAAAAGAGCCCATAACCTAAGCTAGATAAATGAGAATGGACCATTTCATAGATGGAGAGATTAAATGTATGGTCCAAGGTAGTTCTTACCAATCAGCTATAGGTTAGAACTATGACTTAGGTTCCCCATGCCCAATCTACTTCTATGGCCACTGCTAGATTTCTCAGCTTTTATCCATCATCTTGTAGTGTCTAAGGCCACACCTTTCACACTCTATCAAGCACCAAACACAAGGCACAGTGTGGACAGGGCCATCTTTATTGAGATTTTTAATTAAAATAGTTTGCAGAAGAGACCACAGCCTGGAGGGGGAGCAGCTTCCCAAACACTTCCTGACCCATGACCTACAGATGAAGAATTTGATTTATTCCCTATTTCCTTCAGTCTTGGTGGCTAAGGGGTAATGGCTGGAAATGGGGAGAATGACTGAGAGGAAGCAAGGATGAAGCTCATTCTTAAAAACCTCAAAATGCCCCAACTTCAAACAGCTGAAGTTTGTTTCATAGCTGTTGGTCAGTTCTAGCCAACCAGGAATAAATTATAGTTTTGCCACCTCAGCAGATTGCAACAGCTTTCCAGAACTTTGGCCTGGTCTGCACCAGGTACCAACATCACAGTTGCTAAAATCACCAGAAGGGATTTTAGAACCCGCTCTATTACTGTCCCTTTGTTCAATGAGAGGTCCAAGCTTCACCCCTAAGAGCAGTCCATCGGGCTTCATTTACGCTTCTTCTCCTGTGTGCTGGTGAACCAAGAGTCTAGGAGCTTCTTGCTGTAGTACAACTGCCAGGCATGCACTTGGACTGCCAACACCAACACCAGGTACATGATGGAGACGGCAGAAAAACCAAAGAGGAAACGGTAGGCCTTGCCATGGCGGTAGAGCTGCTGTGCAGCAGGGAACATCTCCATGCTGCCATAAATGAGAGGAGCGATGGAAAAGAGCCCCATGCTGATCATGGAGAGCACCAGGTAGCTAATGTTGTTGCGAGGAAAAGAGAGAAGGCCCAAAAGAGAGGGCAAAATGCTCAGCAAATATGGGTATTCCCACTGATAGGGCATGGCCACCTGATCATGTGACAAGAGCCTCAGGTGTCCCACGCTCATCTTGGCAACCAGCAGCAGCCATAAGACCAGATGTACGTAGATCAGCTTCTTGATTTCATACTTGAGGGTCACACTGTAGGGCAGAGCAGAGGGAGAAGTACCTTTCAAATTTTTCTCACCACCAACTATATGCCAGGGAACTGTACTGGACACTGGGATACAAATTTGAATAAAACAGCCTAGAAGCCGGGCACAAAGAACAGAGGAAAAAACTAATTAGAAAATGAAGTGAAAAAGTTCTAGTAAATATATGTTCCAAGATATATGGGAACACAGGAAGGAGGAATCAACTCTGCCTGGGATGGAATATCAGAGATGGCTATCTAGAGGCAGGTGGTATTTGAACTAGGCTCAGGAATGAGTGAAGATGGGCATTCCATGCAGGAGCACACAAGCAAAAAGGCGTAATTATTTGTGTTCCAGGGAAGCAAGTGGTTATGTGTGGCAATAACACATTGTAGGAGAGGAGTAGTAGGATATGAATTCGCAAAGACTATGAAAGAATTAGTTTAAAGGCAGAAGAGGCCAGGCATGGTGGCTCACAACTGTAATCCAAGCACTTTGGGAGGCTGAGGCAGGACTGCTTGAGCCCAGGAGTCTGAAACCAGCTTGGCAACAAAATGAGACCCCATCTCTATAAAAAAAAAATAACAATAATAATAAAATGGCAGAAGAGTAACTCAGAGCTGTGTTTAGCAAGATGACTCTGACTGCACCACAGGATTAAAGCCTGGAGGGAGAATGTATTGGCAGAGAGTAAAGGTACTCAGGCTGCCCATAATTCTCCAGCTAGATTTTTCATCTAAAGGAAGTACATACTTATTCTTCTAATTCTCTCAGGTCCCAAATGTATCCTCCTCATACTCCTATGGGCAATGTTTCTGCTCTGGGCTAGCATGAGAACACCTGCTTAAGTTGTGAGGCCCCCTTCCCCTGGGGCCTAGAGATGTGAAGGAGATGAGGGTTCAAAGAGCTTATCATTCTTCAAAACTCGGGAGAGAAAGATGTGAACATTCTGGGAGAGATAAATGGATTTAAGGAAGTAAAAATTTTAAAATTTTTATTTAAAAACATTTACTGTAGAAAATGTGAAAAACAAAAAACAAAAAACCCAGTCACCCCTGGACTTCAAGCTCCATGAAGGCAGGGAACAGGTTTTTTTTGTTTTGTTTTTTTTTATAAAACTGTTTATTGAAGGTATAACATGCATACAAAGACCATGTCTGCTTCTGCCCCCTATTATAGTCTAATGTCTAACACAGTGTATGATGGCTGGAAGCTCAGTAATATTTGTCGAACTAGTAATCGAATGCAGAGATACCCCTTACATGGGAGTGTTTATAAAATTCATTTTAGGCAAGGCATCTTTAGGAAAGGCTGCCTTTTACTGTCTATATTCCCCCAAACGGCCCAAAATACAACACCTACCATATATTACGTGGTAGGTCTTATGCTACTTTCTTCACACGAATTACTGATTACTCTCTCACCAAAACCTAAAAGGCAGATTATTCTCTCCTTTGCAGATGAGGAAGCTGAGGCTCAAATTAGAAATTCGGTTTCGAAGGTGACACAGCGGGGCCAGCATCGACGTAACTCGGGAGCCCACACGCGGCTAGATCCCCTCAAGGCACAGGGCGGATCAAGGGGTGGAGCTCGCGGGGGCGATGGGGCTTTCCAGGACTGGGGACAGGCCCGAAGCCGTCAAGGGAGGAGGGGACTTGGCACGTGCACGGGGGCTGGCTGGGAAGCAAGACCCTGAGGCCTGGCGGCGTCGTTCCCCAGGCCCCGCAGGTTCCCGCAGGGGAGAAGGCCTCCGTGCTCCTCGCCTCACTTCATACCTCATCTGGTAGTGCATGGCGACGCGCTCCCGGTGCTCAAAGTCGCTGCCGTCGGTGCCGGCCGCTCGCGGGCCTGCCCGAGACGCCATTGTGCCCGCCCAGAACCCCCAAACCCCTCACGAGGACCTGCTACTGCAGCGACAGCGCCAAGAAGCCAGCGGACCAGATTCACGCCGCCTCAGCGTCGCCACCCAAAAGACGCGCGGCTTGACGAAGAGCACTTCCGGCCTCTCTGTCTCTGGAGGACCAACTCTGTGATCACTCCTCCCCGCGCAGGCGCCCTCGTTCTCTCGGCCCCGTCCCCGCCTCACGCGGAGCGCCCAGGAAATTAATCCTCAGCTTTGGCTTGTTTTTGCTGGCGCCAAGAGGCCGTTCGAACACTTTTACTTTCTTTTTTTGTTTGTTTTTTTTTTGAGACGGAGTTTCACTCTTGTTACCCAGGCTGGAGTGCAATGGCGCGATCTCGGCTCACTGCAACCTCCGCCTCCTGGGTTCAGGCAATTCTCCTGCCTCAGCCTCCTGAGTAGCTGGGATTACAGGCGCGCGCCACCATGCCCAGCTAATGTTTTTGTATTTTTAGTAGAGACGGGGTTTCACCGTGTTGACCAGGATGGTCTCGATCTCTTGACCTCGTGATCCACCCGCCTCGGCCTCCCAAAGTGCTGGGATTGCAGGTGTGAGCCACCGCGCCCGGCCCACTTTTACTTTCTTAAGCTGTAATATGTTTAGGACACCATCGTCCACACTTCACAGAGGGGGAAACTGATACTTGGAAGCATTCTATGACTTTCCCTGGAGCACACATCATTCACACAGCCTCGCCCCTGTAATCCCAACACTTTGGGAGGCCGAGGCAGATGGGTCACTTGAGGTCAGGAGTTCGAGACTAGCCTGGGCAAAATGGTGAAACCCCGTCTCTACTAAAAATACAAAAATTAGCCGGGTGTGGTGGTGGGTGCCCGTAATTCCAGCTACTTGGGTGGCTGAGGCAGGAGAATTGCTTGAACCCGGGAGGTGGAGGTTGCAGTAAGTCGAGACTGCACCGCTGCCCTCCACCCTGAGGGACAGAGTACAGAGTGAGGCTCCTTCTCAAAATGTTTCTCACATTTAATCATTGCAAAGAGAAAACGGGAACCTCTCAATTAGGAAATCTGGCTTGTCCCCCTTAACTAAATAGTTAATTTGATCAACTATGAGATAAACTGATATCTTGTGCCTCTTAATAGACTAAGGACATAGCATCACTTCTATGATGTTTCTGCCAAAAACAGCTAACTGAATCTCATCATGAAGGAATGACATAAATCCAGACGGAGGGACAGTCTAGAAAAGAGTTGGACTGTACTCCTCAAAAACATCAAGGCCATGCAAGAAAAATTATTTCCAAATAAACTTTATCTGTAGAGACAAAGTAGAATGACAGTTGCCAGATGCTTGAGGGGTGGGCAGGGAATGGGGAGTTAGTGTTTAATGTGTACAGAGTTTCAGTTTGGGAAGATGATAAAAGTTCTGGAGATGGATGGTGGTGCCGATTTGTACAACTGTATGTATGTGCTTAATGCCACTGAACCGTACACTTAAAAATGACTCACATAGTAAGTTTTATGTTATGTACATTTTACCACAATAACAAAATACTAAGCATAAATTTAAAGAAAGAAGTTATGTTATCTGAATAAAGAAAAAAAAGAAAGAAAAAAGCATGTACTCTGAGCATCCATATGCACCAGGATACTCTGCTATGACCTGGAGACACAGAAGTCAACATGGTCCATTTCCCCTAAGGGATCACAGCCCAGTCGGGGGAAGCACTTGTACCCATGAAGCTAAGAAATAGAAGAAAGCACAGTGGGCTGAGGGAGGAAAGACAAGCCCTCTCTCCCAGACCTGGAAGGTTAGGAAAGTCTCTCTGGAGTTTAAGCAACTGAGCTGAGGTCTGAAGCCTGAGTGGGAATTAGCTAAAAAGGCTGAGGCAGGAGGATTGCTTGAGCCCAGGAATTAGAGATCAGCCTGGGTGACATAGCAAGATCCCATCTCTAAAAAAAAAATTAGCCAGGCTGGATGGCATATGTCTGTAGTCTCAGCTATTCAGGAGGCTGAGATGGGAGGATCACTTTAGCCCAGCAAGTTGAGGCTGCAGTGAACCATGATCACACCATTGCACTCAAGCCTGGGCAACAGAGCAAGATCCTGTCTCAAAAAGCAAATACAAATGATCATACAGAAAGGACACTAATGCAAAGGCATAGCTGTTTAGAGCAGAAGTTTGTAGCTGTTTTTGTGCCGTGAATTTCCTTGGCAGCCTGGAGAAGCTATGGACTCTCAGAATATTTTTATTCTTTATTTAATTAAATTAATTTTTGAGACAGGGTCTTGCTCTTTTGCCCAGGCTGGAGTGCAGTGGTACTATCATGGCTCACTGAGCCTTGACCTCCTGGGCTCAAGTGAACCTCAGCCTTGCGAGTAGTTTGGACTACAGGCACGCACCACTATACCTGGCTTAATTTACATTTTTTGTAGAGATGGGGGTCTTGCTATGTTGCCCAGACTGGTCTTAAATTCTTGGCCTCAAGCAAACCTCCTGCCTTAGCCTCCCAAAGTGCTAGGATTACAGGCATGAGCCACCACACCTGGCCTTATTTTATTTATATTTTTAGAGACAGGGTCTTGCTCTGTCATTCAGACTGAAGTGCAGTGGTGCAATCATGGCTTACTACAACCTCGAACTCCTGGGCTCAAGGGACCCTGCCACCTCAGCCTCCTGAGTAACTGGGACGTGTGCAGCCACACCCAGCTAATTTTTGTTTCTTTGTAGAGACAGGGTCTCACTCTGTTGTCCAGGCTGGTCTTGAACTCCTGGCCTCAAGCAATCCTCCTGCCTTGGCCTTACAGACTGCTGGGATTACAGGTGTGAGTCACTGTGCCCTGCCCCTGCCCCTGCCCCTGCCTTGTTTTGACTGAACAGTAGATCTTGGATGTGTTCTCCAGATCAGTACAGAGTATTTACTCTTTTTTCTTAGTGCCACTCCCTCATATGACTAGAACATAGTTTACTTGACCTGCCCCCTCTTATTGGACATTTGTGTTGTTTCTAATATTTTGTTATTACAAATATAGCTTCAGAGAATAACCTTGTACATACATAATTTCACTCATGGTCAAGTAGATCTGTAGTTTGGAATCCCAGAGGTGGTATTGCTGGATCAAAGAATATATTGTGCTTGAAATTTTGATAGATCTTGCCAGAATGCCTTCCATAGTGGTTATACCAATTATATTCTCACCAGCAATGTATGAATGTGTCTGAGTCCCTGTTTGCCCACAGCCCTAGCATCAACTTGGTAGTCTGATGGGTAGAGAATGGCATCTCAGTGTAGGGGTAGTTTAAAATGCATTTATGTTACTGCAAGTGACTAAACATCTTTCCATGTGTTTAAAGGTCATTTCTATTTCATTTCCCTGTACTGTTTTCATTTTTCTATTATGTTGTAGATCTTTTTTTTCTTTCTTCTTTTTCTTTTTTATTTATTTATTTTTTTGAGATGGAGTCTTGCTCTGTCGCCCAGGCTGGAGTGCAGTGGCATGATCTCAGCTCACTGCAACCTCCGCCTCCCGGGTTCAAGCAATTATCCTGCCTCAGCCTCCTGAATAGCTGGGATTACAGGTGTGCACCTCCATGCCTGACAAATTTTTGTATTTTTAGTAGAGATGAAGTTTCACCACGTTGCTCAGGCTGCTCTCGAACTCCTGACCTCATGATCCACCTGCCTTGGCCTCCCAAAGTGCTGGGATTACAGTCGTGAGCCACCATGCCCCGCTTTTTTCTTTCTTTTTTTTTTTTAAAGAGAAGGGGTGTCTTGCTATGTTGGCCAGGTTGGTCTCCAGCTCCTAGCCTCAAATGATCCTCCCTTTTCGACCTCCCAAAGTGCTAGGATCACAGGCATGGGCCACTGTGCTGGCTCAGTCTTCCCAATTTATATGTAGATACAGGTGGGATGACAGAATGAGAGATGACCTTCTTGTCTGTGATGTTAGTTTCAATACACAGCATTTTCCTTGTTTATGTCTTTTTACTTTTTTCATGGTGTTATAAATGTAACATGCAGAATATATTTTTAAATTTAGTGGCTTCTCAATTTTCAGTCGTAGCTACAGTCCTGCTCCAATCCAAGGTGTCCCAGATGATTTTCATGCACTACAGAGTTTGAGAACCATGCTCAGACACTGGCTTTCTCACTAGAATGTGAATTCCCAAAGGCAGAGATAAGAACTAAGTCATCCATGTCCCCAGCCACTCATAGTGCCTGGCATAGTGTAAAATTTCAATGTCTGTAATCCCAGCACTTTGGGAGCCTGAGGCAGGAGGATCGCTTGAGCTGGAGTTCGAGACCAGCCTGGGAAACATGGCAAAACCCCATCTCTACTAAAAAAAAAAAAAGAAAAAAAAATTAAAAAAGAAAGAAATGCTGGTTGAATAGATAAATTCCAACGGAGTCAAAATTATCCCCCTCTCCTAATCACTGTGAAGAGCCCTTGGGTTCATCCTTTGCCCCCTGGCCAGTGCTCTCTGGCTTTAGCTCGCAGTTATCTTTGTCTTTCTGTGTCTGCTTTTCTGTCAGGCCAGACCTCTCCTGAGTCATCCATTGGCCTATCTGTCTCGGGACACCAAGTACACAGTGAAGTAATAAATATTTGAGGCATGACTGTTGAAGGGAGGGGCCCTGACTCTTTCTCCAGAACCACTTCCCTAAAGGGTTTTGCTTGTACCTTTCTCCTGGCTCTTGGTCTGCCCTTACATTTAAGTTATTTTTATTCCTGTCTCCTCACTCTTCACGTTCCCCTCTCAAATTCTTTGCATTGATGTTTCCTTTGTCTTGATCATCCTCCAGGATTTAGTCAGGATTTAGCTCAAAGCTCACCTCCTTGGAGGCATTTCTTGAACTCACAGGCCAACCTAACTCTCCAGCGGTTGTTATTGTATCGCCTTGTTTTGTTTTCTTCCCACAACATCATTATCTGAAATTGTTTTGTTTATTTGCATATTTATTCACGGTGTGAGTTCCCGCCTTCCTCAGGAGTGTCAGCTTCTTGAAGTGTGGGACAGAGCTGTCTTGTTGCCTGCTGTATTCTTAGCCCCAGAAGGACTGGCATATAGTAAGTGCTTAATAAATATTTGCTGAATGAATGAATGATGGTTGCCTGAGAACCCCTCCAAGGAAGGATTTATATTTAAATAATAATTTTCATTTATTGAGCTC